CAAGGGGAAAAGGGCAGAGGAAGGGCACCACGGAGTCTTCCTAGGTAATGAAAATGATCGGGTTTTCTTCTTCTTGACCAGATAATGGTCAAGATGTGAGCATAACTAACAATTCTGGCTGTTGCCTCTGTCTATTGCTATATATTTGTGCCCAGTGTTATAGCTGGAAAAAGTGTTATAGTTGGAAAAAGTGCCAAAAACACAATTTCTCAGTGTCTTCCAAGTTTCAAATTTAAGAAAACTTTAACATAAGTCTACAACAGTTACATGGGCCACATTGTTACAAATGTCTGAGCATTCTTCATTAGTCAGTACTTCAAAGTAATCATGGCTGGATCAAAGTCATACACAAGCTGGCCCAGGAGGAGTTAATAAAAACAACAGCATTCATTGAGGTTTTACTGTCTGCCAAATGCTTTCCTTTCATTATCTCATCTAATCCCTACCACAGCAGTGAGAGATATATTAGTTTTATCCCCATTTTACAGATTACTGCTTTGACAACTCACCAAGGCTAGGTCAAGATCATTGCCCAAGCTCATAAAAAAAAATACCAAGAAGAACAGCTGAAAAGCCAGCCCTATGTCAACTTCTTAATTCTGTCTGTATTAGGATAATATAAAAATAAAATCAACTCAACAGTTCCAGGCAATGAAACATGGGCAGAATGTGTAGTCTAAATTCAGTAACATGAGCAGCACATATATTTCTCTTCCTCTATTAAAAGGCACATCACTAGCTCCTAAGAAATGAAGTTCTTATATTCCAAATGATGTACAACAGAACAAAATGATCTATAGGGTAACTTTCTGATCACCTCTGGCCATGAAAAGATATCATGCAGCAAAGCAACTCAACACTGAACCAAGACAGGCAATAACTTTTTTTAGGGTTGATTCCAATTCATCTGTAAGAACTTTCTTTGGTCATTCTTATAGGAGAAATGCCTAGGGTTGTGGTGGCAGCAGAATTAAAACATCTTCTCAAAAAGGCATCTTCGGGTTCCCATGTGGGAACAAGAACTGGGCTCTGGATGCATGACTTAGTCAGCACCAAAATATATTAACCATCAAATATGCCAATGCATCCTGCGTTCGTTCAAAACTATTGGTACTGGGATTCACATTCCCAGGAGATAAAAATCAAAATTAACTATACTACCCACAATTCCAAACCTGTCCTCCTTGAAGTGTAATTACACCAGAAATGGACTGGGCTAATACGATGAATAATGTGTGTTTACAAAAATTATTTGGAGAAAGGGAAGATGGACTAGAAAAGGAAAATTGAGTGTTTGTTCCAAAGATTTCACAGCAAGGTTTTGGGAGATATATTTTCCTTTCCTTAGAACTGCTGGTGAGTCGTCAAAACAGTGCCTCAAGAATTACTAGAAACCCAATAGAATTGTTTAAAAGTCAGCCAAAAGGCGAGACATACCCTAAGTGAATGCAAATTCTGTAACAATACAGCAAAAACACAGTGAAATAGCATAATAAAATACCAAAAGTATAAACTAAAATATGCCTATTGGAACAAGCATTTCATCTCTGCAAAAGTAATTTGCATCCCATAAAAGACTGACTTTGCTCTCCGTTTTTAAGTTATTACATAATATACGTCAACCCTTATAGGCAAGACCAAACTGTAACAATTTTATGTATTTATCAAAAGATCATTCAAAAGAGAACTTACCAACTCGGCAACGTGTGTACACTTGTGCTTCAGAAGGAAAGCAAGGAAGTGCCTTTCTGTACTTACACTGCTAAAAGCACTTCACCACAGTCCTGCTTGTAATGAAGTCCCACTCACAGTCTGCCTTTGGGTTGGGCTTTTCTCTTACAAGATAAGCTGTTAAGTCATGCCTTGATTTTAGATCTGCTACCATATGGAGCCTTCTAATGCAGCCTTCTCTCCACCCCTCCATCTCTCCTCTCCCCCCCCCACCCCGCCCCCCAAATCAGACTGGCTCCACTCCCTCTCAACACACACATACATACACACATACAAAAAAGGCACTGCAGGGCAGAAATTCCTCAGGTGCTCGCTAATGGAATTCCCAGGGTCTTGGAGCCGCTTCGGGGATCAAGAGATCTCATAGCCCCTGCTGGGGGAAGGAGCTGCGAGTCTGTTCCATTTAATCAAATACAGAATGAATTTTCAGCTCTATTCACTAGCTTGTCTCCAGGGCTCTCAAAAGGCACCAGGCAGCTAGAATCACACACATGTGGCTCTTTTAGGCAAGTATAATTAGTTTGATTTTAAAAAGCCACATTAATAATATCACCTCAGGACCATTATTCAGGAGACAGACGACAATGATACTGTATGTTTTAAGCCTGACAATGGGGAGAAAGTGCACAAACAATGGGAGAAAACTTGAAGGATTAAAAAAAAAAAGTTTTTCATTTCATTGTAATCCAATATCTTAAAAGTGATGTTAAGTATATTCCATATACCATCCTCTAATTTTTACAGGAAACAAATAAAGCCACCATGTCTATGCTCCTGAGAATCAATGAGTTCATGCATGCCAAATATACAACTATATATATATATATATAATATATATAAAATCACACCGAGTGTTTAAAGGCAAGATTAAATATGTAAATAAACAATGTAACATTTCCACTCAATCCAAACTAATGAAATTCTGTGAAAATAACACCGAACAAATACGGCTCACAGCAAGTCCTAAAACCAATTTGACCACCAGACTCCAAATTCCATTTCTAATCTAATTAGTTTGTATAAAATAATAAGACCATCTGGGAGACTACCTGGCAGGCAATCTACCTACTCTCCCTTCCTAATCCATTGTCTTATCTCCCCTTCCACAGAGTACCAATGCTGATCACATGGTGTTAGCTAATGCAATTACACATTAAAGCCACACATTTCCCAATGCATTATTTTTATGTGTCCTAAGCCTCCCGACTTCACAAAGGTAGTGTTTACTTCCAGACATCATTTTTTCTGGCACTTGACTTAGAAACAATCACCAGGTTTTAGATCACAACACATTCCCCAAAAGAAACATTTCTCAATGTCTCAATTGAATTTTCACAAAACCATAAGTGAGCTCATCCAGGAAGGCTTGAAAGCATTCACAAAGGTGGAGAAATAAGAGGAAAGTGCAAGAACTAGTTATTAAATTTTACCTGATCTTCTCAGAGCAATGCCTAGCACAGAAGTCATTATCCCTACACCCTGCCTGAGTCTATATATGCTTTCCTGATGGGGGGAGGGTCCTATCTTAAAGTGAACTTAATTCCTTCTATTAAAAAAAAAAAAGCCAAACCACCTGCAAAACAAGCAAGGCAACCTACACAAGCTGGATCATTCTGCTCCAAGTCCTAAGGGTTCTTTGTACTTCCCCGCTTGAGAGCCGGAGCTGTTTAAGTACTTTGCACAGAAGAGAAGGTTGACTAGAACCCCAGCAATCAATCAAGGTATCCCAAGTGACTTACTACACAAACAACAGCAAGGCACCTCCGGTAACTGATTTCCCTGGTTGACTAAACTATTCAAACAAAGTCAGATTCCTCAAAAGACTATAACCGAGTTTTTGCAATGAAAGTTAAACAATACACATTTGTGTGTGTTATAGAAATATAAATGTTTCTGCTCTAGACACTGCCAAACACACACCCAGGGCACTTCTTTCCAAAATGAAACAGGTTTTCTCCATCTTTCCCATATAACTTCAAGTATGTGCCAGTTTATTTCAACATGTGCACAACAGAGACTACAGTATTTGCTGCCTTTCTCTGGGTTGCTAAGAATTCTCAGGCACTAATTTTGTATTTCCAGAACTTTCCTGAGGATTATTCTTTCATTTTATTCTAAACGTTAAACTATTCCTAAGTCGCCCCCCCCTTTTTTCAGCCAAAAATAGACTAGCAGGAGGGGGGGAATGTGTCATACAATGTCTAGAATTATATTGAGTAAACCTATTTCATTCTTGAGCCTTACCCACCTTCCCCTTAGTTATGCCAAATGTCACTTGGGACCCCAGAGTTAGGGTATCAGGGAGACACAGACTGCGAATGAAGGAACTTGGCTTCTTTCATCTTTCCTGGCACTGGCCAGTGAATAAATCTCATGTTACCTCCTGTTTTCCAAGGTGTCTGAGTTAGGACACAAAGGCTGGGCTTTGCCTTCATGAAGTTTCCTCAATTCCAGACCCCAACTAGGGAACAGCCCTTCAAAGCACCTGCCACCCTCTTTCGTCTCCACTAGGAAAAAGCAGGCATTTCAAGAGCTTTCCACCTGACTTGGTGGGGTTGGAGAAGAGTAAAGGGAGTCTATCCTCCTCGGTGATTTATGAGGGGAATTCTTAGATGCGGAGAGAAAGCCACAAAGGTCTTGGAAGCCGCAGACTGAAACAAACAGCGATGTATCCTTTAATGTATTTAGCAAATGATAATGCAATCCACAGAAAGCTTTACAGAGAAGTGGGGGAAAACACACTCCCTGGGGCTGGGAAGTCACTTGAGTCTGGGAAGGCAGAGAAAGATACATTGTGCAGGAAATGTCTCTTGCTTCTCTCCTGCACATAAATCACTGTCTCTCGCGGGCGCGCGGCGGGGATGGGGAGGGGGCCGGGGACCCCCCAGCCCCGCTCCCTTGGGAAAGCGCGCGGGCGCCCCCCGCGCCCCGCTACACCCCGCGCATCCCACCTGCCCCGGCGATCGTCCCCAAAGCCCAGACTTCATCGTGTCGCTGTCACCTCACCCCGCCTCCTCCCACGAGGGGGCTGCGAATACCCGAGGACGCGCGGCACGTCGGGGCTCCCCTGCTGGGTTACCCATAAACATGCCTTTGGCCCCACCCCGGACCCCCTCGCCATCTCGGGGTACACCCATCCACCCTTCCCCAGCACTTCCCGCTCCGGAGCCGCATGGACCCCCTCCCCACCCCGTCCCCCACCCCGGGCCACTCCCCTCTCCCATCCCGCTGAGGGGACCCTCCACACCCCCCGCCCCCGGGCCCCGCACCTCTCGGCAGGGCTGGCTAAGCCCCCACACCTCCTGCACGGCAGCCGGCTCCGCGAGCCAACCCCCAGGTCATCCCCCCGCGCGCGCTGGCGGCGGCTACGACGGCTGCGATCCGAGCGGGCCCCTCCATGCACCGGGCAGGGCAGCGGGAGGGCGC